TCTAGTTAGGGGTGCCTGGGTGGCTCAGTGGGTTAAAGCTCGGCTTTCGGCTCAGGTCATGATCCCAGGGTCCTGGGATCGAGCCCTGCATCGGGCTCTCTGCTTAGCGGGGGAGCCTGCTTCCTCCTCTCTCTCTGCCTGCCGCTCTGCCTACTTGTGATCTCTGTCAAATAAATAAATAAAATCTTTAAAAAAAAAAAAAAAAAAAAAGGAAAGATCTAGTTAGGTTTACATTCCTAAATGGCAACAAAAGGCTGAACCCAAGTGGTGACTCTCCATTTAGACAGGACACATTCTCTCAAGCTTACCATAATCACCACCACCCTTTCTTCTATTGCCCTCAATGAGGTGGTGGACCAACTACGACAAATCATCTTACTTGGCCAGCTTCACTCATTTATTCTACCTGCCAAGCACCCAAAGGCACTAGAATCTGCAAGCAAATATACAGTAAATCCAAAGGAGAGAGAAGTTGATTAAGCAACAGATAAGCACTTTACAAGACCAAATGAAGATGCTCATAGTCCAGGAGCTATGATCAGAGTCTCTAAACATCCAACGGGCAGTCATAGGGAAGAAGCATCTGTCCTGTTCTGTGGAGTCCCAAGGGGAAGATAATACAGAAGCAATAGGTGGACATAAACAACACAACAGCCAGAGCTATCCATAGGTAGAATATGTGGACTTGGGAGGTGATGAGTTCCCCATCACTGGAAATGTACAAGCACCTGGTATACTACTGTGTTGCAAATATATAATCAAAGGGATTCAAGGATTTGATGAGGCAAGAGAAGGCATGGGTCTGAAATTTTTTACAGTAGGGGAAAAAAACAGTTTTAAAACATTCTCCTTAGGTCAATAAATTCTTCAAAAAGAGATAAAAGAGAATAAGTCAACAAAGAATTCAGTATCATTTTTAAAAACCAAAAATTCCCCTCACTCGATTCACAGGACAAAATTTACCTAAGTAAGTGAAGTATCTGCACCAAACTGGCCAAATGAAACCCAGGGAGAAAGGAAATTGGCATCAGGCGTTATTTTTGGTGATTGGTCAAACATTCTTCAGAGGCAAGCAACAAAGGCAAGGGATAAAAGTAAGAGGGTAAACAATGGAACACGATCAAAAGGCAGCCAGTCCCCACCACAAAACCGCCATCTGCTACTGACATCAATCCTTCAGGGGGCAGCTTCAGGCAAACAATGTACTGGGAAAGATGACGGCCGCCTTCGCATTCCCAGCCTTGTGACCTTGGGCAAGTCATTCCACACGACAAGGCCTCAGTTCCCTCCTCCCTAAAACTGAGCTCATATGAACCCTTTCCGTACACTGTGTAGGCCAAGAGTAGTGATGTTTGGGAGTGAGCCAGAGAAACTGTAGAGCCCTGTACGTACATCAGTAATAATGACGACGATGAACAGAATTTTGAGAGAAAAGGTTCCAGATGGTTTCAGAGACTGCAACATCCTGACCTAAGTTGTGTGGGTGTCAATTCCGAAGGACCGAAATTCAACTCCTTTAACCAGAACGTAGAGACCTTTAGAGTCTGGAAGAGACAAGATCATCTGGACAAATTTCCTGCTGAAATGCATTACCTTAGACTTGCTAAGTAGCTGTTAAAATAACAGTGAACAGTAAAACGTAAAAAAATCAGCCAGAGAAAGAAATGCTTAATTGATCCTCAAGCAAAGTTCACGGGCCCAGGGGTAGCAATCCAAAAATGAGACAAGCGTGCTCCTTACCATGGCAATGCTAATAAAAACCCCAAACTGTCCAAAACTCAACATCCCCTTCTCTACTGTGGCATTCTTCTTGGGAACCGCAGTTAAAAAGAACAATAATAATCAGCTACCTTCATCTTATAAAATATGAACTCCCTAAAAAGTGTGTAGGCAAAGACCGAACCTGGGCTTTTGTACTGGAGCAGTCGCGTGAATTCAAATCTCTGACCAATAAAGGGCTTGCTTCTAAATTCTCAGCAAGGCTGAAACATTGTAAGTCACTGTTTTCCACACTGAACTGAAAGCTGGAGAAGGGTTTTCTGTTTATTTCTGCCCTGGGGTCTACCCAGAGGTGATTAGCATGTCAGGTCTGACCAGAACTAAAAGGCACAAGACGGGTGGCGAGACTGGAGGGAGAAAAAAAAAAAAAAACACACACACACACAAAGCCCTCCCCTGATGGCTGCTCCCCTCCCAAAGGTTCCCAAGCATCTAAAGCGTGTGCAGCAGCTGTGGATGCCGGCCTCCCGCCGCTCCTGGAGAGGCAGCCTGCCTTCCTGGGTCACCGAGTCAGGAGCTGCGGCAGCACCCAAAGCAGGTGTGGCAGCCTCACGTCACCTGGGCCCCAAATAACCAACTTGTTCTAACAGTCCACCCAGAGCCTCAAGGGCAGGCATCAGTATCCCCTGAAGATGTATTTTGTCTTCAGTCTTTCCGCAGAAGACCACAACACAGCCTGTGTCGCAGCAAGGAGATCCAGGACCAGAAAGAAACCAGACGCTAAGAGGCACAGGCCCAGGCTTCCCTCAGGGTACCTCCTCAGAGAAAGGGTGAGCACAGTGCTTTTAGGTTTTCCTCGCCAGAGCTGAGCCTAAAACTCACGAAGGTGGGAGAACCCCAGTAGGGCATGAATGAGGATTCCGCCTGCATTGGTCTATGCCATTGTGTCCGGTGTCCTATTTCGCCTTGCAAGGGAGGATTTAGGGAGCAGCTTCTAAGGAGTGTGCCCCCCCGTGCAGCAAAGCTGGAACAAGCAGCCAGAGGTCATCTCATCCTGTTGGCTAGCTTCCTCGGGCACTACGGCAGCCAGGCAGCTCCCAGCCGCTGAAACGGCACACTGCGCTGTTGGCTTTGAATGAAGCCTGATGACCCTACACGCTAGCAAGCGGCCGGACGGTGACTGGGGCTGCACACGGTGAGAGAATACATTTTCTGCACCAAGCTCCCTCTTTATGCCTAAATGCCTGCATTAGTCCAGATCAATATGCCCTGTAACAGTTCATCCATGGCAACCTAGGCCAGCCAAGAGACAACTGACAAAGAATTGCAGCCCCAGGAGCTGCTTCCCTGTGCATATACATGTGAATTCCAGCCCAGAGAAAGGGGCAAAGGAAAGCAACAACAAAAACCAAAAAGATGAAAGAAAAATAAAAGCAGATCGTAAAAAGATCATAGGAAGGGGCTTTCAGCATGGGAGAGGGGAGGAGGTGGTGACTGTCAAAATGGCCTTAGAATGACATGTCACCGCCAAGATGATGGAGTATCCGCGACACTCCTAAAGCCGGGCGTAGGATCCTCCTCACACACCTGCAATGCAGTGATTGCTGCCCATTCTATAATCCATACTCCCAGCACCAGCGCTCTCTGCCGTTGAAACCAGTCTGGACTTGTGCGGCTGCCACCGTTCCTACTCACAATAAGATTATTGATGCATTACAACATTTCGTGATGGCAGGGAGGAAAAAGGGTAAAAGAAAGCCAAAGCAAGAGAAAAAGGAAAGGGGACGGGAAGCATGACTCCCCAGCCCGTGTCTCACCTTTTATTTGGGCTTCATATTCGGCAATGATCTCTTTGTCTTTCTTGAACTTAGTTTGAGATGACATCTTCCAAAGTGGCCAAAGGCACTGACAGGCTGTTTGATTTATTTCTCTTTTTCTTCCCGAGTCCTCTCTCAAGCCCTGGTAATCACACGGCTCTGGTCGATTTCACAGGTTTAGGGACTAATCTCTTTTACTCCGCTGCAGAGCCAAGGGGAAAAAAAAATCCCTCTCGATCCGGGAGGAAAATTCTCTTTACTCGCCGAAAAAGAATGTCTCTAGTAGCTTGGTCTGGTCAGCTCTTCTTGCAAAAGAAGAACTACCACCCTAGGAGCTCAGTAACCTGCCCCAGATTTTCAAGATTTTTCTTCCACAGAAATAAAAACCAAGAGCGATCACACACACACGCACACAAACACACTCACGCGTGCACTCTCGCACTCATCCGGACACACACACACACAGCCGTGATGCACACACACATACACACACGTTCACTCACTCACACCCGCTCACCCACCCACCCCCACACACACACATCCACGAGAGGCGCGGCGCCTCCTTAGTCGTGCAGTCGGTCCCCGGCTGGCTTTCAAAAGCTCTGCTAAGGAGATGGTCAGGTTGCCAAAGAGCCGGTCATCTCGCATCCTCCCTCCCTTCGGCGCCTCTGGTCTGATGTACAGTGAGGATCAAAGCCAGGAGAGCCGAGATGGAAGTTCTCTGGCTGCAAGGCTTAAGCTTCGGGTAAACCAGAGCTGGACTGTTCGCCCTGCAGGGCTGGCTGAGCACTCCCCCACCCAGCTCGTCACCAAGCTCCACCTCCCGGATTTTATAACAACTGACACATTGTAGCCTACAGGAGAGAAGAACTCACTGCAAGCAAAAAGGGGAAGAAATGCTCACAAAAGGGAAGGCAGCAGGAAAAAGAATCGGGTGGGAGAGGCCTGAGAGGCCCCTGCAAACTCCATTAGCAGTCGGGTTAGGAATTTTTCTTCCAAAAACTCCAAAAGGTTCACCTTTTCTTTGTACCTTGCAATTTAATTTAATTTCTCAAAGCAACAGCTATGTGACAGTTTGTTACTCTGTAGGGATGGTCTCCAGAGAAGAGAGGCTGACCCATGTAGGCAAGCTCATTAATATTTGTTGAGCAATTGCGGGCTGGCAGGGACAATGCCAGGCATTTCAGACACGCAGTTTTGCAAAGCTGTTGAGAGCAGGCATGCTGGAAACACCCAGCTGCCTCAGTGTCTCTTGGAGCTTGTGGCAAATCAATAACTCATTGAGCCTCAGTTTCCTCACCAGTAAAACGGGCTATCTTTAAGAGCTTTTTAATTCATTCTTTCAACAAATATTTATTGAAAGCTTACTATAGATCAGGTATGGTTCTGGATACAGGGATGCAGCAATGATCAAAATAAACACACACAGAGGGAAGGAAGGAGCAAGGGAGGGAGGGAGGGAGGAAGGAAGGTAGATCCCTGTCCTCCTGGAGCTCCAGGGTCTCCACATTACACAACTCTGGGAAATCCCCACCAGTCACATTCATGTTCTCAGTAAAGGTCGAACTCAGAATGCACAGTGAATGGTCCCTCCTGGAATCATGCAAGGCAAGAGGCCCTGGAAGAGGAAGATGAAAAATAAACAAAATGAGTAAATGATAAAATATGGTTGAAGAAGGTAAGTGCTATGGGGAAGAAAATACTGCTGGGTAAGGGATTTCAAGAATGAGGGAGCTCGTGGGAGGATCAAATAAGAATGTAAAGCTAAGCTTAGCATGGTGCCAGGCACATAGTAAGCACACAATAAATGGTAGCAATTATTATTACCCCATGATATCCTCCCCCCAAAAACCCAACAACATAGCAGAAGCAACCCTCTTTCACAGGTGAAGGAAGAGAGGCACAGATATGGGAAGGGACTTACTCAAGGTCACCAGCATTCAAACATAGGCTATCTGACACCAGATTTTGACCATGCAAATGCTCAAGTATCCTGCCTTCTACTAAAGAGATTAAATCCATTTCACATGCACTTCGGTAGAGCAAGATTTGTTCTACAAAAAATGAAATCAAGCACGATAGGATTGCATAGGAACTACCCATACTAAGGTTGTCATTGACATGTTTTATCCCCCCAGTTTGGTATTTTCGCAAATTTTTCAAAATAATCTCACATATGCCTATATCTGAGTATATAATAAATGATCAGATTCAGGTTCAGAAATGAATCCACGGTGATCCATTAAAGCCTCCCAGAGAGGGTGGCAGTTGTAATGGGTCTCCTCAGACAGGTATGGGGCCAGGGGCGAGGTAGGGTGTTGGAGGAGATGCGATATTCCTATGCAGCAAACAGTATGAGCTAAGCCTGCCGGCGAGAAGGCATAGGATCTGCTTGGAGAAAGCACATGGAGAAGTCCGGCCAGCGAATTTACAGGGCTTTTTACAGCTTTGCATCCCGAGATAGGAGGTCACAGAGTTGATAAGCACTGTCCCACAGCCAGTGCCATCACCCTCTTGCCTCACCTTGAGGGGGCATGTTCAGTCCCTCTGAGGTCTCCCTCTGGACCAGTTTATTTATTTTTTTAAGACTTTTATTTAGTTATTTGACAGAAAGAGAGACAGCGAGAGAGGTAACACAACCAGGGGGAGTGGGAGAGGGAGAAGCAGGCTTTCCGCTGAGCAGGGAGCCCAATGCCAGGACCCTGGGATCATGACCTGAGCCGAAGACAGACGCTTAATGACTGAGCCACCCAGGCACCCCCAGACCAGTTTAAAACAATGGAAGCCATACATTTTACCTAAGAAAGATGTGCCCAGAGATTAGCATCCCTGCCTCAAGCATAGGAAAGGAAAAAAGTTAAGTATTGCATTCCTTGGGATATGACAGACTGGATTCCCTGCCTGGCTCTGCCATTATAGTTCTAAGAAATGGCACAAGTGACTTAACCTGCTTGACGTCAGAGGCAGGAACTATTAAGTGTCAGCCATTCTCATCATTACTAAAAGTTTGAATCCGCAAATATTTCTGGGAGACCCATGTGTAGGGCACTGAGCCACAGAAGTGTCACAAAAGGCTCTAGAAAATGAAGTGAGGTATGGTATTGAGCTACATGCTGAGCAGCAAAAGAGCTGGATTTTGGTGTAAAACAGATGGTGATTAAAATTCCAGTTCCGCCACTTACCAGCTGGTGGGGGCCCCTAAGTCGCTTCTGTGTTTTCTCTGAGCCTCACTCCAGTTTCCTCATCTGTAAAATGGTGGTGATATTACTCATAGCACAGAGTCCAAGGAGATCATGAGCTTAAAGTGCCCGGCACCTAGCAGAGGTCCTGCAGATGTTGCTTCTTTTTTAGGGCCCAACCACGTTGGGCCTAGGATCAGAGTTGGGGCTCCACAGATCCCTGGATCAAGAGCAGAGAGAGAAGAAATATAAGACAAGGGTTATGTCTCCTGCAAATAAATCGCCACACACAGCGAACCCACATCACCCAGAATCTTCCTTCCCCAGGAAAAGGTGGTATGACCTAGGCAGGCCCCCTGGTATGATGCCCTTGACTTTTTCCTTCTGTTCCTCCCCAAGGCTCACCAGCCTCTCCACTGCCCTTCTGCAACACTCCTCCACGTGGCACTTCTTCCTTGTTATATGAGAACCAGCTGCCACTCCTGATGATTACCCTTCACAAGGTAGTAACAGAAATCAGATTCCTCCAAAAGTAAGGGTGGTATGCGGCAAGGCAAGGGGCTCTACTATGTCGTTTGATCTGTGCCACCCCCAAGGATGGGAATACCCCCAGAAGGTTATATTCCATTTACCTCAGGCTCATTTCCTAAATTCTTTAGCTCTTCCTGAATTATCCTAATAGCTAGTATTTATCAAGTCCTCATTCCATCTAGGCACTGGGCCAAGTACATTATATAGATTTTATCATTGACTTCTTGCTATGACCCAATGGGTCAAGTTCTGTAATCATCCTTGTTTTACAGACAGGGAAACAGAGGCACAGAGCAATGAAGCAATTTCCAAGATCACAAAACTAGCTACTAACGGAATCATATTCAAACCAGGTCTGACCAATATGGCAGCCCAAGGACTTAACCAGTACACAGTTCTATACCAGAACAATCATTGTAGTGACAATCATTGTGAAATATTGACTTTTTTTTCTCAAGCAATACAGTGTTCAATCTAAAGTTTGCCATTAAAAAAAATAATAATAATAATTTAGGCTTAAAATCATAATGAAAACATGTCAAAATGGCCATTGATGAACCTCAAATCACAATTATAGCTGATTAACTCAAAACTCACTAAACTGGTTTCTTTTCCTGGTAGGGGGGCAGGGGGAGAAAGAGTCTACTTGGAAGAAGAATGACCAGAAAAGTTTTGGGTTTAAGGCAATGTTTGTGGGGGGTTTTTTAGCCAAATATGAAACCCTCCCAAGGTGACTACTAAGAGTTGGTGTCTTCTGTGATATTCTCCAATGCTACCAACTACTGCATCCTTGGCTGAATAATTCTGCCCTTCAGTCTCTGCTCTGCAAAATGAAAGTGACCACAGAGCTCAGCTAGCTACTGCCAGAACTGCATACAATTAATAGTGGCAATGACAACATGCCACGTGTGTATGTGCTGGTCCATATTTTATAAAGCCCTTTCATATTGCTTATCTTATTTGGGCCTCACAACAACCCCAGGGGGAGAGTACAAGTGGCCTGTTTTTAATCCCTGTTTGAGGAAATGAGTGTGTAAGTGACAGCTCTGATGGGAGAATTATTTTATAACCTCAAGTATAAGGATGGCTTTCCTGTGTCACAAAACCTATAAGCTGTAAAAGCTGACGGCCGATTGCATAATAATTTTTTCAAGATCCTGCCTGGTCAAAAGCACCATAAAACAAAGTGAAAGACAAACTGCAAACTGAAGAACAATATTTGCAACACCTATTATAGGCCAAGGACTAATTTCCCTAATATACAAAAACATACGATTCCAACAAATACTTGTATGCAAATGCTCCAAGCAGCTCTGCTCACAATAGCCAAAAGGTGGAAACGATTCAAATGTCCATCAACAGACAAATGGAGAACTAAAACGTGTTCTATTTATACAATGGAATATTATCCAACCATAAAAAGAAATGAAGCACTGATAAGTGCTACAGCATAAATGAACCTCGAAAACATCATGCCGACTGCAAGAAGACAGACACAAAAGGCCACATATTGTAGAAGTCCATCTGTGTGAAATATCCAGACTAGATAAACCCATAGAGACAGAAACCAGATGAGTGGCTGCCAGAGGCTGGCAGGTGGGGCATAAGGAGAGACTGCTTAACAGATAGAGGGTCTCTTTGGTGGTGATGGAAATGTTCTGGAACTAGAAAGAGGTGATGGTTGCACAACACTGTGAAGGTACTAGATGCCACTGAATTGTATACTTCAAAATAGTAATTTTGTTATATGAATTTCACTCCAGTAAAAAATGAGTACTAAAAAAAAAAAAGAAGTTCCTTCAAACTTACGAGAAAAACACCAACAGTCCAGTGGAGAAATAAGTAAACAATATAAGTAACACTTCACAGAAAGGCATACTGGCCCATTTCATATCCTTTTCTTCCCCTTTCAAGTTTTGAACCAACTAGAAGTAAATAAAGGAGACAGATGGAGAGTCTATATTTAACAAATACGTATGACGTACTTATTAGGTGCCAACTAGCAACTTGCCCAAGGTCACACAGCTAGTAGATGGCAAAGCCAGGCTTCCAACCCAGCTCCAAACACTTCTTATTTTGCTTCTTAAAATGTAAGCTTTAGGGGAACCTGCGTGGCTAGTTGGTTAAGTATCCATCTCTTGATTTCGGCTCAGGTCATGATCTCGAGGTCATGAGATGGAGCCCTGCATCAGGCTCAGCACTCAGCAGGGAGTCTGCTTGAGACTCTCTCTCTCTCCCTCTCCCACTGCCCCTCCCCCACTGTCTCAATAAATAAAGTAAAGTTTTAAAAGAAAAAAGGGGAGGATGTGATATATTGACTCCATGAATGTCCAATACGAAAGAACTTGCACCTTTTTAAGTTTTTAAATTCTAAGGTATGAGGGTCAATCACAGTATGGGCACTTTGTTAGGTGGTCAAGGGTCTTCGTCTGTTCAAGTTGCCATAACAAAATGCCATAGCCTGGGTGGCTTATAAACAACAAACATTTATTTCTCACAGTTTTGGAGGCTGGAAGTTCAAGATAAGGGTGCCAGTGTAGCAAGGTAAGGGTCCTCTTCTGGGTCACAGACTTCTCATTGTATCCTCACAAGGCAGAAAAAACTAGGGAACTCCCTAAGGTCTCTCTTTTTTTTTAAAGATTTATTTATTTTAGAGAGAGAGAGACAGATTGTGGGGGGGTGGGAGGAAGAATTTTAAGCAGACTCCCCGCCAAGCAGGGAGCCTGATGTGGGACTCAATCTCATAACCCTGAGATCATGACCTAAGTCAAAATCAAGATTCAACTGCTCAACAGACTAAGCCACCCAGGTGCCCCATCATGTCTTCTTTATAAGGTCACAATTCCATGCATAAAGCCTCTACCCTTATGACTTATCCCCTCCTAAAGGCCCCACCTCCTAAGACCATCACATTATGTGTTAGAATTCCAATATGTATATTTTGGGGGGACACAAACATTCAGACCATAGCACCAAGCTACAATGACTCGGGCCACATCTTAGAGACTACCAGATGGCTGCCCAGGTCACAAGTCCTCAAGACTGGAGGGCAAGGATGTAAAATAGGAGACCAGGAAACAAGAGCATGAGGAAAAAGTTCCAGGATCAGGACAAAGGGCCAACTTGAGACTCCCAGAATCTCAGCCTCCTCATCTCTGCAATGGGAGAATAATAAAGCTTCTTAGGGTTCCTGGAAGCATTAAGTGAGATAATGAATGGGAAGGCTTATCATATGGCTACGAGGAAGTATCGAAATGCCCACTGAGGCTGTGTAAGCAGTTAATGAGTATGTCTTGACCACCTTAGAAGCCCTCCTTCAAGCACTGGGAGAAATAAGAGACGATGTGACTTGATCAAGTTCTTATAGGTCGTCACTTTTGGAGCTGGGCTCTAAACCTCAGTTAACTGACTCTACTACATCATGCAGGCCACAGACTGCCAATAAATTTCTAAGAAATCTAGAGATCGGTATAGGAAATGGAGAACATCAAATTCTCACTCTGTCTCAGTGTTAGGGGTTGAAGGTTATGTCCCCCTGCTCCAAATTCCCATGTTGAAGTCTAAGCCACAATGTGATGGTGTTTGGAGGCGGGGCCTTTGGGAGGTGATTAGGGTAAAATGAGGTCATGAGAGTGGGGTCTCATTTTTTTTTTTAAGATTTTATTTATTTATTTGACAGACAGAGATCACAAGTAGGCAGAGAAGCAGGCAGAGAGAGATAGGAGGAAGCAGACTCTCCGCCGAGCAGAGAGCCCGATGCGGGGCTCGATCCCAGGACCCCGGGACCATGACCTGAGCCGAAGGGGCGACTGCCTTACAAGAAGAGACACCAGACAGCTTGCACTTGCCCTCCCTCTACCTCTCTGTCTCTGTCTCTCTCTCTCTCTCCTTCCATCACTTCATCCATTCTTCCTTCCCTCTGCCATGTGAGGATACAGTGAGAAGGGAGCCATCTGCAAGCCAGGAAGAGGGTCCTCACCAGAACCCAACCATGCTGATACTCATGCTGATCTCAGGACTTCCAGCCTCAAAAACTGTGAAAACATAGATGCTTACAGTCTATTGTACTTGTTATGGCAGCCCAAGCCAAGATACTTAGGTTAGGAAGCCCGGATAATGGTTAACTCAAAAAATAATAATTATTATTATAATAATGGGGGAAAAGAGGATATAAGGAAAGAAAGTAGCTATACCAAAGGATAGGAAAGAAGATTTTTACCTCATTTACCCACTCATACAACAAATACATCTTAAGCACTTCTCATGAGCTAAGCATATGAAGAACAAGATACAATCATGAACCAGACAGACACAGTCCCAGCTGTCATGGAGATCTTAGTTGAGCAGAAAAGACAGGTAAAGAAGCAATTATAATTCAACATGATGGAGAAATACATGGTTCCATGGGACCTGATACTAAGGGCACTTGAGGGCTTAGAGAGCCAAGAGATAGCTTCTCAGAGGCAGAAATTTCTAAGCTGAGACTAGAAAGCTGGAGATAGTAAGTCCAAGATAGGAAGGGAAAGTGCTCCGGGCAGAGGGAGCAGCCTGAGCTGAGGGGCGATAATCAGTGCTGCTGGAGCCTGAGCTGAGGGTGGGGCATGAGGGAGAAGATGCTGGAGAGGGACGTGGGCCAGAGTGTGAAGAACCTCCTGAGCAACAGTAACAAGTCTGGCGTTTGGTGGGGGT